GATCAAGAGCATCCTGGCCAACATGGTGAAACCCCGTCTCAAAAAAAAAAAAAAAAAAATTGTTCTTTGCAGAAGCAGTGAGAATAGGATAATGTATTGTCGTAGTCCAGTCACTCAGTTTCAACAATAATGAGCTTTTGGTTAATTTTGTTTTTGTTTTATTTTGTTTTGAAATGGAGTCTTGCCCTGTTGCCAGGCTGGAGTGCAGTGCCCTGATCTCTGCTCACTGCAACTTCTTCCTGCTGGGTTGAAGCAATTCTCCTGCCTCAGCCTCCCAAGTAGCTGGGACTACAGGCGCGTGCCACCATGCCCAGCTAATTTTTGTGTTTTTAGTAGAGATGGGGTTTCACCATGTTGGCCAGGCTGGTCTCGAACTCCAGACCTTGTGATCTGCCCACAAAGTGCTGGGATTACAGGTGTGAGCCACAGTGCCTGGCCAATTTTGTTTTTATCTACATTTCTTCTACCATCCACTTTTTACCCCTTACCAATTGTATTATTTTGAAGCAAACTCCAGGCTTTATTTTATTTTATTTTTTTAAGTAGGGTCTCACTCTGTCACCCAGGCTGGAGTGCAGTGGTGTGATCTCAGCTCACTGAAACCTCCACCTCCCAGGCTCAAACGATCCTCTTACCTCAGCCTCCTGAGTAGCTGGGACTACAGGTGTGTGCTACCACGCCTGGCTAATTTTTGTATTTTTTGTAGAGATAGGGTTTCGTCAGGTTGCCTAGGTTGATCTTCAACTCCTGAGCTCAAAGCAGTCTGCCTGCTTCAGCCTCTCAAAGTGCTAGGATTACAGGCGTGAGCCCAAGATAAACTCTTTAAAGCATAAATCCCATGCTATTATCACAACATTTAAAAAGCAGTAGTTATTCCTTAGCAAAATCAAGTATCTATTCAATATTCACATTTCTTATACTTTTAAACCAAGTATAGTATTAATCAAATTGATTTATAGGCATTTTGCCATTCTGCCAATAGATGGTGCTACAGAGAGTTTTGGGGGAGGGGACTTCTGGTAGTAAATGGTGAATGAGGAAACCATTTAAACCTTCTCTGAAAATGTAACAATGCTTTTATTAATGGATAGAAAGATTTTTTAAAATGAAATTAACATTTTGACCTTTTTAGAGACTATTAATAAACATTTTTGCTATACAATTCATCTTTTGCTAATTGACAAATGAAATCAAATGGTAGCAGTTTTTAGCCTTTTTGTGGGAGTGAAGGAAAGCAGCTTTATTGATAGGAAGTAACTTATCCATTTGTCTATTTATAGGTAGATATTTATTTTAGAGACAGGCTCTTGCTCTGTCGCCTAGGCTGGAGTGCAGTGCCATGGTCATAGCTCACTGCAACCTTGAACTCTTGGGCTTAAGTGATCCTCCCACGTCAGCCTCCCAAAATGCTAGGATTACAGGTGTGAGCCACATGCTTGGCCTTATTTTGAGAAAGTGTTTTCTACATTGTAAACTATATTATGTAAAATTAGGTATATTGCGATCTTTTTTGGCAGCTTACGATAGTAATTTATTTTATGTATTTTTATTTTTTTTGAGATGGAGTTTGACTCTTGTTGCCCAGTTTGGAGTGCAATGGCGTGATTTCAGCTTATCGCAACCTCTGCCTCTTGGGTTCAAGTGATTCTCCTGCCTCAGTCTCCCGAGTAGCTGGGATTACAGGCATGTGGCACCATGCCTGGCTAATTTTTAATTTTGGTGAAGATGGGGTTTCTCTATATTGCTCAGGCTGGTCTTGAACTCCTGACCTTAGGTGATCCACCCACCTCGGCCTCCCAAAGTGGTGGGATTACAGCGGTGGGCCACTGCGCCCAGTTCAGTAATTTATTTTTTAAGCATTTTTAAAAATGCTTAAAAAATGGTGGAAATCAAGTTTGAATTGATTTTAACTGTACAGTAGTTTAGTGAAGTATTATACTTCTATGAAAGCTTTTATTACCAGTTTTGATCTAGGGTTGGTGTAAATTGGAAATTGGCATAAAATCTTTTGTAACATTGTTCAAAGGTGAAGTCTGCTCCTGATATTATTTATTAAGTTCTTTGTGGCTTCATTTTTACTTTGCCTTATTTGCTCTGAAATCTTTTAGTTTTTCAGATTTTTTTTGGGGGGAGGAGCAGGTAAGAAAGGCATGTGGATGGCTACAAACATCCAAAAGAAAGAAATGCATTTCGAAAATTCACTGTCTAGAATCTTTGTTCTGCTTTTCTCACAAGACTTTATTTATGAATTAAATGCAGGAATTGTTAAAAAAGGTGAAATTTATTCCTGGATCAGCACTGAATGCCATGGTTGACATGATGGACAGGCGGCCATATTGGTGTATATCAAGGCAAAGAACTTGGGGTGTTCCAATTCCTGTGTTTCATCATAAGACAAAGGATGAATACTTGATCAACAGGTAGAATGCTTTCTAAAATTTTTCAGTGTTTTAGAGTGAGTTGTTTTTTCTTCAAAAATGGAAAAATAATGTGGACAATTGAGAACTGTTTATATATGTTAAAATAAAATACGCTAAAATAGTCTTTTTGGGGGACTAAAATATAAACTAAAAAAGATTCTTTCATATAGTTAAAATATTAAAAACCAGATTTACATAAATATTGATACTTAGAAGTAAAGGCTCTGATTTTTTTTCTATGAGAATTTATTGGGCTGGATTAAAACATCCTGGATCCAAAGGTGGACAGTATTTAGCAGGTGAACCTGAAACGTCATTTTTCTTCATAAATGAAGAGAATCACTCTCATATTCTGAATCTTCTCTCCTTTTCAGTGGAAATGGAATTATGTAATTGTATGGATACTTAAAATTCAAGAAACGATAATATAGTTAAATATACATGATTACACTGAGCGTTATATTCCCAGTTCTTTCTTCTTTCCTTATTATTATTTTTTTTTAATTTGAAAAGATAATAGATAACATAGTGAATAATTCATAATAGAAAAGCTTGTACACTGAAAAGTAGGCTTTTTTCTGCTGCAGATACCCGGAACCATTTATTTATTTTATTTTATTTATTTATTTATTTTTATCTTAGGGTTCCGGGAAAATACAGGCCACAGATATTTTTTGTTTTTTGAGACAGAGCCTCGCTCTGTCATGTAGGCTGGAATGCAGTGGTGCAATCTTGGCTCACTGCAACCTTTGCCTCCTGAGTTCAAGTGATTTTCGGCCCCAGCCTCCTAAGTAGTGGGACTACAGGTACCCACCACTACACCTGGCTAATTTTTTTGTTTTGTTTTGTTTTGTTTTCTTGTTGAGACGGAGTTTTCTGTATGGCCAGTCTGGAGTACAGTGGCACGATCTCTGCTCACTGCAGTCTCCACCTCCTGGGTTCAAGTGATTCCCCTGTCTCAGCCTCCTGAGTAACTGGGACTATAGGTGCATGCCACCATGCCCGGCTAAGTTTTTTTCATTTATGAGAGAGCAAGATATCTAGGGAATTTTACTGAAGTGATTGATGTGGGTGGGGATTCCTCAGTGAAATAGCCCCCTGGACTCTGAGGTGGATCATATGTATGTATTTGTAAATATAGCAAACTGGTTTGACTATAATTTCATCCTGACAATTAAATGGTACATCAGTTGATTGGTCAGTAAGTTAGGTGAAATAAATATGAGCTTTGTCAGAAAAACACAAACGAGTTTTCATTAGGTATATTTATGTTTTATTTACTCAATACATTTACGTGGTAGTGTTACAGATTCTTCTGTGTATCTGCCAATGCATTGGTTGCGTGGTGTTAGTTGATTTCTGGTATTGAAGTAGCACAGTCATACAGAATATTGGCCTAAAGAAATGACAGACAAACTTAGCCACATTATCTGTCAATTCATAGGTCATTTTCCTGTATACCATTTCTGAATGATGACTCTTATCCTCTTCCATTACTGGATCTTTTTGGTGATATAACACTTGAATTTAAGAAAATTGATATTAATTCTTAACCATTTGTTAATTTTATAAAACAGGCTGAAAGCTTATCTTGTTTCTGCCAGAATCAAATCAGATTCCAAGTGACCACAATTTTCTGTCTTTCTTTATTATACTTTTATATTGTAGCAAGTTGGTAGCCATCAAAAGTAACAGCATCTCCAATGGAAATTGGTACACAGTCCACATGGAGTTGCTGTTACACTTGGTAACACCATTAAACATAGAAGAAGATTCCTTTTGCTCTAGATGAGATCTGTACTATATCTCTAAGTAAACCTGTTTCACAGAAGAGTCTCAATATATTCATGTTCTAAATACATTTAAGGACTGGTAGATTTGAAACTCTGTTTCATTGTGATTTGAATTAATGGTGTAATTTGTATTTTATATCATATTTGTATTTTCTCAAGAAATAATTCCAATTCTGACTTTACTGTAATTGATCATTTTTTGAATCTGTGATATAATGCCATTAGAAGTTAGGTTGAAATCTGTTACTAGTCAATAAAAACAGAATAAATAATTTTTAGCATAAAAAAGATAAAATTTAGAAACACTGGCTACCTAGGAAGGAAAAGAAGTTGGTTAAATTTCTTTCATCATTTCAGACAGTTATTATCGCTTTCATGCTATTAATGTTATAGCTAACATATGGAAACTTAGCCCCTGACTTCTGGAAGTTATGAGAAATTTAGTAAAAATAAGCAAGGAATTTCCAGTATAATTTGAGTGTTAACTTTAGCTACCTCAAATTTTTTCTCAATTAACAACAATAAACCTTTTGTTCAAAAAATTTTTTTATTAAAGAAAAATTTCTCCAAAATAGTTTCCTGTTACCTTTAAAACATAAATCTAGGATGAAATTAAAAATAGAATTTTCCCTCCAAATTTCACTGTGTTCTAGAATTAAATTTAGTAAGCAAATGTGAAACATTTAGCCTCTTACCTCATTCTTCCAGTAAGTTCTACAGAAGAAGAGTTGTCTTAATAATCCTTAATATTTTTGCTTTTAAAGGCAAAACACAGAAGACCGTGGGATGATAGCAGCAGTAGTTTCTTTGTTACTTAGCAATCTTAATGCTGCTTAATTTCCACAACACGCTAAATAAGCCTCATTCCAGTTGATAGCGAAGTTCAAAATGATTGGTTGGTGTTTTAGTTGCTCATGCTACCCACTGGTATTTCACAGATTGAAAGCTAAGAAGGAACACGTAATGCATGTGTTTAGATAAGGCCTTTGAGTAAAGTACAAGGTTTTATGATTGAATTATTACTTTGTGAAATACAGCATTAAGATGGAAGCATATAGATTACATACTGATAAGTGGTTTCACCCACTTTTATCAGCACTCATTTATACTGATCTTTGGGTTATAAGTTAACTATGTGTTTGTGTTAAGTATAGGATATTAAAGAAATAAAGGGAGAATTCTTAAATTTCAGATAAATTTAGACGTTTTTCTTGTATTTTTTCTTGAAGAATATTAAATGTCACAAGGAAATAGAAAATGGTGTACAAAATTTTTTAAGTATTATCTCAGTTTCATTATTTAAAAAAAATTCCACTTCTAAGTATTTGCCAAAGGAAATAAGAGGACTGGTGTCTCTTGTATGGAGATAGGTATATAAGATGTCCAATACAGTTGTTTTTATAAAGGAACATAATGATATACAAAAGAAGATGTAATTTAAGTTAGTGATAGAAGAATGAATATGCACCTGTTAAAAATGTCAGCTTAGCTCCTAATGGTTGCCTAGTATCAAATGAACATAATGTATTCAACCTTTGGATTTTGCAAGATTTTTGTCATATCTCTGTAATGAGTATCTTTTGAACACTTGTTCACTGTTAACTTTATATATTTTTTTCAAATTATTTTTTCAAATTTTGTTTAAACATTAAATTCATCTTTGTTTTTATCATCATTATACCTAGCTCAAGTTTGCGGGTTATATGTCTATTTTTATTGTAATTTTTGTTTTCAAAATCTCTATCACACTTTTTACAGAAATTCAGACTACCAGAGTATAAGGCTAGAGAAAGCTTTCTTTTGGTGATACCAATTCTGTGCACTTAAATTTTCATTTGTTTGGATTGTGAGGATGTTTTTGTCTTAGAAATCTGTATTTTTGTTTGTTATAAATTTTGGTTTATTTATTAAAATTAATTTTTCTTTTTGTTTTGAGACGGAGTCTCACTCTGTGGCCCAGGCTGGAGTGCAATGGTGTGATCTTAGCTCACTTCAACCTGTGCCTCCCAGGTTCAAGTAATTCTCCTGCCTCAGCCTCCTGAGTAGCTGGGATTACAGCTGTGTGCCACCATGCCCAGCTAATTTTTGTATTTTGAGTAGAGACGAGGTTTCACCATGTTGGCCAGGATGGTCTTGATCTCTTAACCTCCTGATCTGCCTACCTTGGCCTCCCCAAGTGCTGGGATTACAGGTGTGAGCCACTGTGCCCAGCCTTTTTTTAATTTTTTTTGAACAGGATCTTACTCTGTCACCCAGGCTGGAGTGCAGTGCTGCAATCTCAGCTCACTGCAACCCTGCAACCTCCGCCTCCCGTGTTCAAGTGATCCTTCTGCCTCAACACCCCTCACCTCCAAGTAGCTGAGACTACAGTCATGTATCACCATGCCTGGCTCATTTTTGTATTTTTTTAGAGACAGGGTTTTGCTATGTTGCCCAGGCTGGTCTTGAACTTTTGAGCTCAAGCGATCCACCCACCCCAGCCTTCCAAAGTGCTAGGATTACAGGTGTGCGCCACTGTGCCTGCCCAAAATTAATTTATTTGACAAAAATTGCATATATTTATTATGTACAACATGTTTTGAAATATGTATGCATTATGGAATGACTAAATCTAATTAAACATATTGTTGGGTTTTTCTTCTCATTTTAAAGTTGACTTTATCTTATTGTTTTAAAATATAAATAATTTGTCTACAGTCTCAAAATAGAACTGAATTACAGAACATACTGTTTACTAAAGTACATTTAGTAAACTTTAGTACATGGTGTTTTCATATTTTACAATATAAAGTAAGGAAGGAAGTCTTGTTCTTTAAATATTAGTGAGACTTGCTCTCTTAATGAGATAAAGCTTCTGCCCTTAAAAATATTTCATGTTTCTTTTGAATACATTGAACAAATTTCTCTTTTGTTCTGATTTATATACATAAATAACAAGGAAAACTTAACTGTGTTGTTTTATTTACAATAGCCTTTTTGAAATTGGATTTTTAAAAGTGATTGTAGGATTGCTTTTCATTGGTGTAGCTAATGTGTAGTTACATTGTTTCACATAAGTATAATTAGATAAGCTAAAAGAAAAACCAAAAACCTTTCCTCCTTACTAAGAGACTTTTGTCCGTTTTTTAAAAAGTTTTTTTTTCTTTTGAGACAGTCTTGCTCTGTCACTAGGTGCCATGCTAGAGTGCAGTGGCACAATCTCAGCTCACTGCAACCTCTGCCTCCCGGGTTCAAGCAATTCTCTTGTGTCAGCCTCCTGAGTAGCTGGGACTACAGGTGTGCACCACCACGCCCAGCTAATTTTTGTATTTTTTAGTAGAGAGGGGGTTTCACCATGTTGGCTAGGATGGTTTTGATCTCTTGACCTCCTGATCTGCCCGCCTCGGCCTCCCAAAGTGCTGGGATTACAGGCATGAGCCACCGCGCCCGGCCTAAAAGGTTATTTTAAACTTACAAGTAAAGTGTATATAAAGCACAAAATTACATTTCTTATACTAAAATATATTCTACATCTAAGTAAATTACTAATATTAAAGAAAATGTGGCAATTAAAATGAATTTTAGACTAGAGGTGTTTGACTAAACTTGGTGGGATTTTACAGTTGCCTTGATAACATGCCAACAGCAAAATTGGACTCTTTCTTTCTCAAAGCTTTTAGTTATAGACTCAGTAGGTTACTTGAATATAGTTAAATAATATTTAAAATGTAATTGAATTTTCTGATATTTAAGAATATGAAAAATAACTTTATTTTATTAAATAATAATTTTTTACAATAATGGTCTTGAACTCCTGGGCTCAAGTGATCCTCCTGCCTTGGCCTCCCAAAGTACTAGGAGTACAGTCATGAGCCACTGTACCTGGCTAAGAATATGAAAAAGAGCTTAGTTTTATTAAAGTTGAATTTAGCTCTAAAATATGAATGTGGAGCTGAGTGTGGTAGCTCACAACCCATAATCTTAGCATTTTGGGAGGCTGAGGCCTGAGGATTGCATGAGGCCAGGCGTTTAAGACGAGCCTGAGCAGCAAAGCAGATCCCCATCTCTAGAGGGAAGAAAAAAATGAACAGGGCATGTTGGCATGGGCCTGTAGTCCCAGCTACTCAGGAGGCTGAGGCAGGAAGGTTAGTTGATGCAGGAGTTCAGGACTTTAAGTGAGCTATGATCATGCCACTGCAATCCAGCCTGGGCCACAGAGTGACACCTTGTCTCAAAAAACTTAGTTAATTAAAATAAAATAAAATGGATATGTTTCATCTATAGTCATAAGGTTACTCATCTCTCTTTAGTTATTAGGAATTTTAAGAATAAAAATTTTCACCTAGCTGTCTTTGTCACAGCTTTTTCCAGTGTTTACAGAAACTGAAATGATTTATTCTTATCATTATCCAGTAAGTCACAGGTAGAGTCTGGTCTTTGGACTTGGAGCTTGCCATGTCAACACACTAATCTCCTGAGACTGCCTAGTTCCTAACTTCATCTCTGATACACAGTCTTCATTATGCCTGAGTAAAAGAGCCTTTTTGCCATTGCTTAGCAAACTCCAGTGAGTTCAGTTACAGTGTTGTCTTTATAGATGAGTTAGAGAGGGAGAATAAAGAAGTAAAAACAGTACCAACCTATGTAAATTTCAAGCCCTGGTTTTAACTGTTACTTGCTTAGCTTTGTAAAAGGAACCTTTAGGTGCAGAACAAATCATCTGTCAAGACCCACTATGTATTTCTGTGAACCCAGTTAGCAAGTGCTTGTAAAGTGCTTTGAAAAAGATGTGTGGTGTATGTATACGTGCTTTGGTTAATAATCTTTATCCTAACATTTTTACCATATTTGCTAAATTAATATGAAATTTCAGCCATTTAGTTTTACTTCGATATTATTTTTATCTGTTTTTCCAGTATATTTAAAACTGTTTTACTGTTTTATTTTACTCTCTACCTAAACTTGCCATCTAAGGATAACGTTGCAAAAAAGAAAGGCAAAATGACACCGATTTTTAGAATTATTTTTTAATGAGAGTTTCGTTAGTGTAAACAGTATTACCTACTATAATTGTGTGTATATATGGATGTAAATGTACTTTACTAGTATCTCTTTTATGGTCGGCTTTGTTTTTTCTTTTGGTATTTAGAGTTATTCAGATTTTTGTATTATAACATATTCATATTTTCTTAACGGAAAATGTTCTGGACAAACTATATAAAATAATAATATGCGACTAAATACTATTGTCATATAACTAGGTAGTTATTACATAAAGTTTTTATGGTCTGATAACAAAAGTTTATCTTTACTGTTAAAGTCCATCTAAAATGAGTGACTGTCTTAGAAACATGCATTTATGCCCATTTTACTCATTATTTTTAAGTTCTTCAAAGTACATGATGGTAGCATGATACTTTTTAAATCTGTCCTTCCTAAAATACCAACTTAGTGATATACAGCCTTTGTAAGGTGTTTCAAATTTAGATTTGTGGAGCATATTTAATTTGTACTCATTTGATTTTTGCTTTCCACAACAATTTTTGACGTTTTAAATCTGTCCTTCCTAAAATACCAACTTAGTGATATACAGCCTTTGTAAGGTGTTTCAAATTTAGATTTGTGGAGCATATTTAATTTGTACTCATTTGATTTTTGCTTTCCACAACAATTTTTGGTAAACACTTCATTTATCTGTGAATTATCAGGCCCAGACCTGACATCAAATAATCAGTTTGAATAATGCTTATATAATATTTAAATGTGCCAGGTATTGTTCTATGTGTTTTATATATATTAACTCAGTTAATATTCATAGAAAGTCTCTTAATGATGTTTTACTATTTGTGTTTTACAAATGGGGAAACTGAGGTAGAAATGCTAAGTGCCTTGCCCGGGTTCAAGTGGTGGTGCCAGAAATTAAGCCAAAGCCCCCTGCTGTCAGGGTCCATGCTCTTGGCCATTATATGTACTATGACTAAATGAAAAACAACCAAAGGAAGCTGTAATAGCAGCAAAGCTGCAATAATAAATTCAGTATTCTAATAAATTAAAAGTGTGTTATTCTCGTGAGAAAATATAGTATGATTCTTTTCCCTGAGTTTAATTTTCAAATCATTTATTATTGTTTATCTTCCCAAAGGTACAACAAGCTTTGTTTATTTGATAGGGATTTGTTGGCTTTCTGTCATGTGTTAAGCACTGTACTAAGTTTTATGTGTATAGTCTCATTTAGTTTGTAGTCGTTCTGAGGGAAGTGTCTAGAATTACTTACAATGTAAGTTTCGTGAGGGCAGGGATCTTGTGTATTTTGCCAACTGCTGTATCTCCAGTGCCTACAACTGTGCTCAAGGCACCGGAGGTATTGCATAATTTTTGAACAAATGAATGAGATTATTCACAACAGAAGGGAAAGCCAAGTCTTAAAGAAGTTTTGGTATTTGTCCATGGTCATATAAATACAAAGCAACAGTCAGAATCTAAGCCTTGATATCTGTCATCACAGTCCTGCTCTAGTATGGCATTGCCACTTACGCAGATGCCTGTAAGCAGGGAGGGAGTCCTGGAAAGTTTTCAAGCAGATTATTAGTGTGATAAAAGAAGTTTCGGAATGCATTTATTTCAAGGTCTGTTTTGTAAATTTAAAGGGATGAGGGAAGGGGGAAGTCCTCTCAGACCATTGATTGCATCAGTCTAGTTTTGAGGAAATGAGGTTGGACTGATAACAGTGTCAGTGGGAACCGCTGTAATCTTTCAAAGGTAGAATGAGAGAATGAGTTGGTTTAATTTAGTTAGAAATCAGAAGAGGAAAGATCATTAGGAGGTTTCAAGTATGTACCTGGATAGAAAATAGATTGGTAGAAATAGCTAAATCAGAACTGAAACAGGGTGGTCAGAAGACTTTTTTTTCTTTTTAGGGATATGTATAATCATTTTTTAATTTATATTGAATTTGAAATGATAGAAGTTTTTTTCTTCAAACTAAGGTTTGAGGAAAAAGTTAGGAAAAAAAATCACTGTTTGTTAATTTGAAAATGTTATTCTTCACAGTAATTAATTGAACAATTCTGCCATGTCCCCCTGAATAGCCAAACTATTGAGCATATTGTTAAACTAGTGGAACAGCACGGCAGTGATATCTGGTGGACTCTTCCCCCTGAGCAACTTCTTCCAAAAGAAGTCTTATCTGAGGTAAATTTCTGTTTGTATTTAACAGCCTTTATTACAGTCCTATATTACAGGACTTAATGACAACATGAGAGATTCTTGAGGGTTAAAAAGCTATCTTACATAAAGTTAACAAATATATTCGCTGTAAATTAGTAGCTAATGCAGTTTGAAAATGGACATTTTGTTTAGCTATAGAGGTGTAGTATTTAAGACTGGGCGTCATGACTCACACCTGTAGTCCCACCCCTTTGGAAAGTGAGACAGGCAGATAGCTTGAGTCCATGAGTTCAAGACCAGCCTGGGCAATATGGCAAAACCCTGTCTCTACAAAAAATACAAAGTTTACCCAGGCATGGTGGCATGTGCCTGTAGCCCCAGCTACTTGGGAGGTTGAGGTGGGAGAATGGCTTGAGCCTGGGAGACAGGTTGCAGCGAGCCGAGATTGCACCACTGCACTGCAGCCTAGGTGACAGAGTAAGACCCTGTCCCCAAAAAACAGTATAGTGTTAGGTTGGGTGCAGTGGTGCACAGCTGTAGTCTCAGCACTTTGGAGTCTGAGGCGGGTGGATCACCTGAGGTCAGGAATTCAAAACTAGCCTGGCCAACATGGTAAAACCTTGTCTCTGCCAAAAAAAAAAAAAAAAAATTAACCAGGCTTGGTGGTGCACGCCTGTAGTCTCAGCTACTTAGGAGGCGGAGGCAGGAGAATTGCTTGAACCCAGGAGGTGGAGAAAAAAAAAAAAAAAAAAATTAACCAGGCTTGGTGGTGCACGCCTGTAGTCTCAGCTACTTAGGAGGCGGAGGCAGGAGAATTGCTTGAACCCAGGAGGTGGAGGTTGTGGTGAGCCAAGATCATGCCACTGCACTCCAGCCTGGGTGACAGAGAGAGACTACATCTCAAAAACACAAAACAAAACAAAATGTGGTGTTTCATATAGTAGTGGAATGTGAGGGTCAGTTGTTACCTTATTGAGGGCCAGGATTGATTGATTTTGACTGATTTGGTTGATTAAGCTCATGTAATTATTACTGTGAGAGAACAGTGTCTAATGTTATATCAGGCCTTTGGAGATTTGTAGTAGAGTTAGCTGATTGTATCACACATTAAAATTTCCAAATTTAAAGCTAATTTCAAGAAAATAGAAAGCGATACATATTACACGGGTAAATGTGTAATTCAGTGGCTGTAGATACTTTTAAATGTGATTGGAGGGAGTTGTACTTAACCGTGAAATGCTTAAAAATATTGTAAATTTCATCTAAAAATGTGAATTTCATGGTTGTATTTCATTTTCTGAAGACTTTTGGGATGCAGTTTTTATTATCTATATTGTGATCTTTGTTTAACTAACGTGCTTTTACATTATCTTATTAGGTTGGTGGTCCTGATGCCTTGGAATATGTGCCAAGTCAGGATATTTTGGACATCTGGTTTGATAGTGGAATTTCATGGTCTAATGTTCTGCCAGGTAATTTTTAAAAATAGATATATGCCGATCAAGAAGTTTTGAAAATATAGAATTGGTATTTAGAAAGGATCTGTGATTGAAAGGTTTTTTTATGTGTGCTTTATTTAGAGATCTGCTACATTTTAGACCTGGAAGGACCCTTAGAATTTAATTAATCCAATGATTTCTAAACCTTTTTTGTTTTTCGAGATGAAATTTCATTTAGAATTTATGGTACAGAAAATAGTTAAAAATGGGATTTTTTTCCCCTCCCTTCAGCCAGTTCATTCTCCTTGGCCCACTTGGCAACCCCAAGGCACCCAGTTTTGTAAAACAAAATTTGGAAGTCACTGAAATAGTCTGACCCCATCATTTTTCAGAAGAGGAAATGAAAATTACTTAGAGCCAAATTAGGTGATGGTCACATAGCTTAATAGTTAGTGTCGAACTAAAACTCAGGTACCCTGATTTTCAGTTCTCGTCTTCTATACTACATTGCTTTTCATGGCTTTTTCTCCTCTCTTTACAAGTAGGTAACTAACGTTATACTTACTGATAGTTAAGGAATGTTTTTGACTGATTGGATAAAGAGAAAGGAGAGACATTGGGCAGGAATTAGAAAGGAGTAGCAGGAGAAGGCACATATTAGGGAATGTGTTTAGATGCTGTGCTAAGTGAAAAGCTAGAGTTCAAATGAAGAAGAACAAAGCTTGTTATCACTGTGAAGTTAGAGACAGGATGAGATGTCACGGAAGCAGTGATGGATCACACAGTTCCTCACACTCCTGCTAAAGGGCCAGCTTTGGCCTGGGAGATCCTGTTAGCTTTCTGGAGTAAGGGAATGTGGGAAAAGTAGCTTGTCTGTGAATCTCACAATAAGATTCCTAGTAAGTGGATATATTTCCTTCATTTAAGCCTTTCTTTCAGCTTAGGAAATTTGAAAAACAAAATGCATGTAAATTCATGTTTACTCTCTATTACAGGAAAAATGTGCATAATAATAATGGCCAAGTATAAGTTACATATGAATTTTTATAATTTTTTGTGTAGTGTTTTTCAGAATGATTTCATCACTTTCTCCCAGCATATTTGAGAGAAAATATTGCAAGTTTAGGTACTTTATTTCTCTAAATTGTGGTCGTGTATTATATATTGACATTCCAGTCAGTAGCAGACTGCATATATGATGACGGCCTCACAAGATGATAATAAATTAGACTCCTGAACAACAGGGTTCCAACTGCACAGCTTCCATCTACTTATATGCGGATTTTTTTCAATGAAATGTGGATGGAAAATACAGTATTCTCAGGGTTTGAAACTCACATGTAGAAAGGGAGGGCTTTTTGTATACGCAGGTTCAGCAGGGCCAACTGTGGGACTTGAGTAGGTACAGATTTTGGTACATGTTGGGGTAGGGGGCTCTCAGGGGTTGGTGGGCCCTAGAACCAATCCTCTGCATATATCAAGGGATGACTACTGTATTTTTATATACCTTTTCTGTGTTTAGATATATTTAGATACACAAATAATGACCACGTGCTGACACTGGCCTGCAGTATTCAGTACAGTAACATGCTGTGCAGGTTTGTAGCCTAGGAGCAATACACTATCCCATGTAGGCAGGTGTAAAGTAGGCTATCCCACGAGGTTTGTGTTAGTACACTCTATGACGTTCACGCAATGAGGAAATCACCTAGGGACACATTTCTCAGAGCATATCTCTGTTATTAAGCAATGCGTGAGTGTGTATTGAAAATGCAGGTCAGTAACACTACTTAAGGTAGTAGGAAGAAGAGATTCCTGCTGGCACATTTTGGGCAGCATCCCGAATTTTAGAAAAGAGTATGACAATTGTGAGACAGGGAGGTATAGTATATTTCACAGTTTATTCACTTCTTTAGATTTCGTGAGAATTAATGCTACTACCATTGTTGGCTTTCAGTTTCTGAAGTGGTTTTACGTTACTGAGTGCAGTAAGCGCACGTTATATTTGATGCCTTCGAGTGGGTTAAACTGTGAAAACTGTCATTAAGACCTATCTGATAGAGTTTAGTCATAATATTTCTAGAGTCTGATTTTTTTTTTTTTTTTTTTTTTTTTTTTTGAGACAGGGTCTCACTTTGTTGCCCAGGCTGGAGTGCAGTGACACAATCTCAGCTTACTGCAGCCTCTGTCTCCCGAGTTCAGTGATTCTCCTGTCTCAGCCTCCTGAGTAGCTGAGATTACAGGCATGTGCGACTACACCCAGCTAATTTTTGTATTTTTAGTAGGGATGGGGTTTTACCGTGTTGGCCAGGCTGGTCTCAAACTCCTGGCCTCAAGTGATCTACCTTCCTTGGCCTCTCAAAGTGCTGGGATTACAGATGTGAGCCACTGTGCCCAGCCAGAGTGTGATATTCTTAACCAAATGATTTTCACTGCAACAGAAAAATTTTAAATTAATTCATAATAATTGTACATATTATTGAGTACATGTAATGTTTTAATAGGTTCATTCAATGTGTAATGATCAAATGAGGGTGTTTAAGCTATCTATCACCCCAAACATTTACCATTTCTTTGTGTTGGGAACATTTTATATCATCTCTTATAGCTATTTTGAAATATATAGTTAATTGTTAGTATAGCCACCCTACTGTATAAAACACTAGGATTTATTCTATATATTTAACTGCTTTTCTATCCCATTAACCAAACTCTGTTGATCCCTCCCTCTCACTCTTCCCAGCCTCGGGTAACTTATCATTCTACTTTCTACCTCCGTAAGATCAACTTTTTTAGCTCCCACATATGAGTGAGAATATGGGATATTTGTCTTTCTGTACTTGGCTTATTTCATTTAACATCATGACCTCCAGTTCCATCCATGTTGCCGCTGATGGGAGGATTTCAGTCTTTTTTTTTTTTTTTTTTTTCATGATGTCTTTATCCATTCATCTTTGATGGATACTTAGACTGATTCCATATCTTGGCTGTTGTGAATAGTGCTATAATAAACATGGAGGTAGGTACCCTGTTAATATGGTGATTTTATGTCTTTTGCATAAATACCTAGTAGTGGGATTACTGGCTCATATGGTAGTTTTGTTTTCAGTTTTTTGAGAAACCTCCATAATTTTTCATAATGACTGTATACTGATTGACATTCCCACCTAAGTTATAGTAGCTCCCTTCTCTCCACATCCTTGCCATCATTTGTTACTTTCTTTTGGATAATAGCCATTCTAACTGTGCTAAGATGATATCTTCTTGTGGTTTTGATTTGCACTCCTCTGATGATTAGTGATGTTGAACAGTTTTTCATATACCTGTTGTCCATTTATATGACATCTTTTGAGAAATGTCTGTTCACACCCTTTGCCCACTTTGTAATGAGATTATTTGTTTTCTGGGTTTTTTTTTTTTGTTTTTGCTGTTGATTTATTTGATTTCCTTTATAATCTGAGTGTTGGTCCCTTGTCAGATGAATAATTTGCAGATATTTTCTCCCATTCTGCAGGCTCTCTTCACTATATTGATTGTTTCCTTTGCTGTGCTGAAGCTTTTTGTTTCTTTCTTTCTTTTTTTTTCTTTTGAGACAGAGCCTCACTTTGTCGCCAGGCACCAGGCTGGAGTGCAGTGGTGTGTTCTTGGCTCACTGTAACCTCCACCCCCCGGGTTTAAGCGATTCTCTTGCCTCAGCTTCCCGAGTAGCTGGGACTACAGGTGTGCGCTACCACGCCCAGCTAATTTTTGTATTTTTTAGTAGAGACAGGGTTTTACCACATTGGCCAGGATGGTCTCAATCTCTTGACCTTGTGATCCGCCCGCATCGGCCTCCCAAAGTGCTGGGATTACAGGTGTGATCCACCATGCCCGACCAGCTTTTTCTTAATATAGTCCCATTTGTCTATTTTTGTTCTTTTACTTGTGTTTTTGAAGTCTTAGCCATAACATTTTTGCCTAGACCAGTGTCCTGGAGGGTTTCTCCTGTGTTTTCCTGTAGTGGTTTTATAGTTGTGGGGGGGTCGTAGATTTAAGTCTCTCTTTTGAGTTGATTTTTGTATATGCTGAGAGGTAGGGGTCTATTTTCATTCTTCTGCATATGGATAGCCAGTTTCCCAGCACCATTTCTTAAAGAGGGTGTCCTTTCCCCACTGTATGTTCTTCGTGCCTTTGTTGAAAATCAGTTGGCAATAAATTGGTGGATTTCTTTGTGGGTTCTCTATTCTGTCCCATTGTTCTTTT